GGGGGTCTGGGGCGGGCCAGGGGGCGCGCTGACCCGGCGCGCGGTCACGCTGCGGGTGCTGCTGAAAGACGCGCTGCTGGAGCCGGGCGCCGGGGTCCTGTCCATCTACTACCTGGTGAGCTCCCGCCCGGCATCCCGGCATCCCGGCCTCCACGGAGGGAGACTGAGGCCAAGCGCCCTTCCGCAGGGCGAGCCCGGTGCGGGGAGGGGACCCTCCCTCTGGGCCATTCACATAGGAGAAACGGAGCTCAGGGGCCCACCTGCCCGGGGTCAGCGGGGCGGCCACCACCTCCTGCCCGTCTGTAAAATGGAAGTTCCTCTCCCCCGTGGGACAGTGGTGTGAGGGTCAGCGCTGTGGGGCTGGGACATCGTGAGCGCCGTCCCCAGGGACCCGCCTGGAGGGGGCTCGCAGTCCCGCTGGGCGTGCACACATGTACCGGCCAGTTTTGCTATAGGTCATGGGTTGCACGCGAGTGGGCAGGCAGGGAGGACTTCTGGGAAGAGGGGGCCTGGTGGGACCCCAGCCAGCCCACTGCCGCTGCAGGGGAAGAAGTTCACCGGGGACCTGCAGCCGGATGGCCGGATCGTGTGGCAGGAAACTGGGCAGGTCTTCAACTCCCCCAGCGCCTGGGCCACCCACTGCAAGAAGCTGGTGAACCCCGTCAAGAAGTCGGGCTGCGGCTGGGCCTCGGTCAAGTACAAGGGCCAGAAGCTGGACAAGTACAAGGCCGAATGGCTCCGGAGGCACCAGCTCCACCTGCCCGCGGCCGCCACCGACGAGGTACAGAGCCCTGAGTTTAGCCGGGACGTGGGTACTGTCGGTGTAGACGGGTTTAAAATCCCAGCAGTGGACAAGGCCACCAGGAGGGCTGTGGATGGAAGGACAAGGAGGGGACGCAGCCCTGGGCCAGCAAGGGAGACAGGGATTCCCGGGGTGGTGGGTCTCAGAGTGGGAGGGAAGCCAGGCCAGTACGGGCTGAGGTGACAGGCGTGCTCCCAGGAGCGGGGATTGGCTGGGGCAGCCACCGCTGACAGTGTGAGCACAGGGACGAGGCTGACCGCCAGGTCTGGACCCGGAGAGGTTACCTTGGCAACGGCAATTGGGAGCTAGAGAGAGTGGTTATTTATTTGTTTTAAGAAAGATTTTTGCTATAGGGCGCATGTGCTTGCCAGAGAGACAGAGACAGAGAGACAGAAAGTGAGAAATCCCCCCCCTAGGAGGGATGGCCACATCACAATCCCATCTCTTCCATTGTCCTCTTGGGATCTTGGGCATGCATGCATGAGTGAGTTTGAAGCTGCTGGGTCTGGGACTCAAACCAGAGTCAACTACGTAGGAGTCTAGCAACGTAACCATTATTCCATCTGCTGGTCACAGGGGAGAGGTTTTAATTTTTAATTTTGTTTCAAAGAATTACTTTAACATTTATTTATTATTTAAGTTTGACCAGAGAGGGACAGAAAGAGAGAGAGGGAAAGTGAAAAAGTAAGCCACCAGGTCTGGGACTTGAACCGCAGTCAACCGGATGGGAGTCCAGATCCCTTGACCACCACACCACCTGCCGGTGGGGAACAGTTATTAAGAGAAGCTAAAATAACCTTGCAAAGCGCTAGCTTGCAGGGCGGGCCCAATGCTCTGTGCCATTCTCATTTCCCCGCCATCCCAAGGGTCTGGAGGTCATCATGCGGTTTTACAGACCCAGCTCAGAGAGGTTAGGGCGCTTATCCAAGTCCCCCGCATGTAAGGGACGCAGGTGGAGACTGGGTCTGAGACAGCCCCGGCTGCGCCCAGCAGGCCCGTCTCGGCTCACTCCTGCCCTCTAGCGGTCAGCATGGGCAGTGGCACCTAGGGCTGGGCCAGCTGCAGGTCTGGGCGAGACTTGGTGGGAATGCAGGGGACACCCAGGTGAGGGTCCTGCCGCTGTCCCCGCCCCTATGCCGCCAGAGCCCGGCCAGCGAAGGGGAGGAGGAGGAGCTGCTGATGGAGGAAGAGGAGGAGGAGGTGCTGGGAGGAGTCTCGGCAGAGGACAAGAGCCGGAGACCCCCGGGGAAGGGCGCCCTGGAACCTGCGCACCAGGGTGAGGGGGCTGGTGGGCGGGAGAGGGCAGAGCAGGCCTTTCCCCAGTTCCCCAGAGCACCTGCAGGCTCCCTGCCTGAATGTCGGTGCTCATGCTGGGCTTCGTGGCTCCTCGGTCCACTTCTGTTCTTTTCTTAATCTTTAATTTTAATTTTTTTTTTTGGAGCGGTTTTTGCTATAGGGCACGAGTGCTCACCAGAAAGACAGAGAGAGACAGAAAGTGAGAAATCACCCCCAGGGGGGATGACCACGCCGCAATCCCTTCTCCTCCATTGTCCTCTCCGGATCTTGGGCACACACGCACACGCACCCGGCATGAGTTTAAGCCTCTAGGTCCAGGACTTGAACTGCTGTCGACTACATGGGAGCCCAGAGACATAGCCAGTATGCCAACTGCTGGTCCCATTTTTTTTAAAGTATTATTTTATTTAACTTTATTTTGAAAATTTTAAAGAATTATTTATGAATATATTTAATTCCATTTGTTATAAATTAAAAATTTGACCAGAGAGAGACATGGAGAGAGGAAGGGAAAGCGAGAAAGCAAACTCCAGTTCCAGGACTCGAACTGCAGTCAGCCACATGGGAATCCAGTGCCTTTAACCACCATGCCACTTGCCAGCCCCATATTTTTACTTTATTTTTTAATTTGACCAGAGAGGGACAGAATGAGAGAGAGAGAAAGACAGAGAGCAAAAGTAAAAGCGCAAGCCAACAGGTCCAGGTTTTAAACCGCAGTTGACTACGTGGGAGTCCAGTGACGTCACCGCTATGCCACCTGCTGCCACCCCTTTTAATGTGTCTGATCTGCCCCCTTGCTGCCTGACTGCTCGGTGTCGCCCCCTGGCTTTCAAGGCTCCCTCTTGCTGGGGCTGCCCCTGTGTGGTCCCGGGTTTGGCCGTGGGGCTGACGCTGTCCCCCTCCGCAGAGGCCGCGGCCCCGGGGCAGCGCGGGGAGAAGGCCCGGGTGCCCGTCCGCTACTGCACGCTGGGTGGCCGTGACTCCGCCAGGTCAGACCCCACCCTGCAGGCCAGGCAGGGAGGGTGAGGGCGGGGCCGGGGAGGGCCCTGGGCTTGCTGAGGCTGTGGGGACCTCGGCCCTGCAGGAACCCCCGCACCCTGGTAGAAGTGACGTCCTTCGCCGCCATCAACAAGTTCCAGCCGTTCAACGTGGCGGTCTCCAGCAACGTCCTCTTCCTGCTGGTGTGTGCCCAGGCCTCCCCTCTGCCGGGGTGGGGGCCCAGCCTGGAGGGAGCCCCGGGGCAGTGGGGGCCTTGTCTGCTGCCCTTTGCCACGCGCGGGGCCAGGGTGGGGCTGGGGCCACCGCCTCTGCTCCCTCCCCAGGACTTCCACAGCCACCTGACCCGGAGCGAAGTCGTGGGCTACCTGGGAGGCCGCTGGGACATGAGCAGCCAGAGTGGGTACCCGGGGCCGGGGGGGTGCTGGTGGCCGGGTGGACGCCAACGCCTCTGCCCCCTGCAGTGCTGACGGTGCTGAGGGCCTTCCCCTGCCGCAGCCGGCTGGGCGACGCCGACACCGCGGCCACCGTGGAGGAGGAGGTGAGCGGCTGTCCGGGGTGGCTTTCTGAGGAGGGGCAGCAGTCCTCGTGCTGTGGCCGACCCGCCCTGGACCCCGTCGTGCAGAACGCTGCTCTGGGCCACGCCGTCTGGCAAGCCCGCCAGCCCCTTCCCCCAGGGGCGTCGGCGTGCTGTGCTGGGCACCTGGCCCCGAGTTAATGTGCCCAGGTGCTGTCAGGCCTGGTGTTGCGTGCGGTGCCCAGCATGTCCCCAGCTGTGTCCCCGTCGCCGTCCCTCCAGTGTCCTGGGGCCCCGTGAGCAGGTGCTAACTGGCCAGCCACTGGGACACACGTCTTCCTGTCTCTGGTGTGCCAGGCACTGCCCTGTGAACTGGGGACACGGCTGTGAAAAGGGACTGTCTTTTTTATTATTATTTTTAATTTTCACCAGAGAGACAGATACAGAGAAAGTGAGAAGTGAGCCATCAGGTCCGGGACTCGAACTGTGGTCGGCCACATGGGAGTCCAGTGCTTCAACCACCACGCCACCAGCTGGCCCCACTTTTAGTTTTAAGACTTTTAGAAATATTTATTTATTGGGGAACAGTGGATGGTGGAATGGTTACATCCCTGGACTCCCATGTAGTCAACCGCAGTTCGAGTCCCAGACCTGGTGGCTTAAACTCGACACCAGGTGTGTGTGTGTGTGTGCCCAAGACCCCGAGAGGAGAATGGAGGAGAAGGGATTGCGGCGTGGCCATCCCCCCTGGGGGTGATTTCTTGCTTTCTGTCTCTTTGTCTTTCTGGCGAGCACACACACCCCATGGCAAAAAATTTTCCAAAAAAGAGAAATAGTTATTTATTTAATTTTGTTCTATTATTATTTAATCTTTTAAAAAAGAATTATTTATTTAATTTCATTTATTCATTTATTTTAATTTGGACACACACACAGAAGAAGGGAGGGAAAGTGAGGAAAGCAAGTCACCAGGTCCAGGACTCAAACCATGGTCAGCCGTGTGGGAGTGTCCAGCGCCCTAACCATCATTCCTCCTGCTGGTCCCAATTATTATTCAATTTGTTAAAGGGTACGTGCCCTTCCCAGAGAGAGAGAGAGAAAAAGGGAAAGTGAGAAAGCAAGCCACCAGGTCTGGGACCTGAACCGTGGTCAGCCATGTGGGAGTCCAGTGCCTTAACCACCACACCACCTGCCGGCCTGGAAGAGGGATGTCTTGCTCTTGCTTGGCAGCTCGGTTAGGGTCAGGGTGAGGGTTAGGGCAAGGGCAGCAGGGTGTACCCCCCACTCCCACTGAGGCTCCACAGGCTGAGCTCTGCAGGCCGCCCCGCCCACCGGCCCCGCCCCCGAGCCCGCCTCTCCGCAGATCCACCAGAGCCTGTTCCTGCGGGGCCTGTCCCTGGTGGGCTGGTACCACAGCCACCCGCACAGCCCGGCGCTGCCGTCGCTGCAGGACCTGGACGCGCAGATGGACTACCAGCTGCGGCTGCAGGGGTCC